GGCCACGACCACGGCCACCTCGTCCCCCATTCCTTCCTCCAGAGTATGAGGTTTGATGCGGTCTATGACCATATGAATTAGAACTAGGTTGAACAACATTTGCGCGAGCAACATGACTGGCCAGTACTGAATCTTCCTGAGCAAACCCAACTAATTAGGCCTCAGCATCAATGAGAATCGTACTCACCTTTTCTAAGGAGATAGTGTCACCACTGGTGGTTATAACTGCCATGAATGGCTGGTACTCTCGGGGTAATCCTTTTAGTATACTTGCAATATGCCCCATTGTGGAAACTGCACTGCCACATGATGCTAAGGCATCACAGGTTTCTTTAACCTGAGACAAATATGCACGCATGTTTTCTTCACCTTTCTTGAGAGACTGTAGTTTACAGTGAAGGTTCATCACAGCTGTAGACGATCTCGTGGCAAAGATCTGTAATATCGTGTTCCAAACTGCAGATGCAATTTCTGCTCCGACAAACTGAGAGAGTAAATGCGTACTAATAGTCGATAGCAACCATGATGCTAACGCACTATCCTGAACTATAAAGTCTTCATTTGGAACCATCGTCCCATCTTCAGCATTCATGCATTCTGGTGGAGGTTTCAACGCACCGGTGAGCAATCGTTCAAGCCGATGACTTTTTACTGTGAGAAGTACTTGCTGCTTCCAAAGCAAGAAATTCGTTTCATCAAGTACAACATTAATCTTTTTGTTGGTGAACATCTTAATTCTGCTCGAAAGCGACTGTGAATCAGTAGCAGCCATGAACACTGAATCTTGCAGCAGAAACAATCTCTCCAGGACTTATGGCGATTGATACCATGTTAAGCAGCCAATGTGTATGAACATTGAAGAGTAAAATTGCTGTGTATTATTCATGGCACTTATGCCATTATATACAAGAGATCCATAACTACCTATAACAAACTAACAACTTCAACAACTAACTACAACTAACCAACTGATTACACCTACCTGCATACCAGCTTATACACTCACACACTAACTACATTCCACAAATCGCTTCCGTATCTCTCTTTTTTTCTTTTTCCAATTAGATTGATTGACTCGTTTGGATCTTGCAGGTTTGAGAGAGAAGAGGAATGGCGCATAGAGTAGATCACGAGTATGATTACCTATTCGAGATCGTGCTGATCGGCGACTCTGGCGTTGGAAAGTCGAATATTCTCTCTAGGTTCACCAGAAATGAGTTCTGTTTGGAATCTAAATCAACCATTGGCGTCGAGTTCGCTACTAGAACCCTCCAGGTTTATTATAGTTTCAATCAGCTCCTTTGATTCGCATTCATGTATGTTTACTTTTTCCTTCTGGAAGTTGGTTGTTCGCGATGTTTCTAGTATTTTGAGTGATAAATTATCTTGTTGATATTTTACTGTGTATGAAATACTTATGATCTGATATAGTTTAGGGGGAACTTTGCATGATTAAGTTGATTGTGAACTTTATGTAACTTAGTTGCGTTATTAGTATCTGAATTCTGAAAGAAGTCATTTCAGTAATGTTACATGAGGAATCCAACTGCCTTTTCTTGCTCTATGTTTTTACATATGGAAGTACATTTTGAACGAGTTGTAGCCAGGTAAGAAAAAATGATGATCAGGTAGTGATAATCGTCGAAGGCACTTTAGCATTGTAGTTGAGTTCAGAGGACTGTTTCATGTCTCTATTTAGTGGAGCTGGTAATGCTGGATACGGTAACATGACCCGAAAAAATTATAAACTCGACACCAAAGAGAACCACAAACGTGATATGAGTAGAATATGTCATAATCTTTACAAGGCTAAAATATTAATTTTTTTGAAAGCTATATAAATATAAAAATAACTTTAAAAACAATTCTGACATAAGAAAGTACATGAACATGATATGAATACACGAATTATTCAGTCTAATTTTTAGTAACAATTTCCACATGTAAGAAATGTTTGAGACTTGATTGAATCAAAGAGTATTTTATTGAATTGAAAATTAAGTTATTATATTGATCCAAGCTTTTGTTATGCTGTTTTATCCCAATGTTAATAACAGGGAATATAATGTTGTTTCATATGGGTCTATGTAGGGTGCTTATCGAGCGAGTTGATCGTTAGTTGGGTAGTGCTTGACTCGTGTTCGTTAAAAAATTTTGTTGCTCGCCTTCGTTAAAAAAAATTTGCTTCTCAACTCTACTTGTTGCGCGTTAAGCTCGACTCGTTACTCGTTAAGCTCACTAAAAAATTTACCTTATTTTTTAACTAAAAAAAATTACTAACACCATACGAGGATATTAGGGTTAGGTTTTTTTTGGTATTAAAATAATATTATTAATTAATAATATTTTATTATTTATTAAAAAATAATAGATTAGTTAACTTATTATTTTTTATTTTTTATTTTTTATTAATAAATTAATAATTATTATTTAGATTTATTTTTTGAATGAAATAATTTTGAAGTAACTACTAAAAATATATTTTAAAAAATTAACGAGTTGCTCACGAACTTATTGAGTCGAGTTAGACTTTGCTCGGTTCAGCTCGTTAAGATATCGAGTCGAGTTCGAATTTGAGTCGAGCCAACTCGAGTCGAGCGTTTACCGAGTTTTGACCAAGTCGAGTGCTCACGAGCTGCTCAACTCGTTAAGCACCCCTAGGCGTATGGCATAACTGATTTGGTTCTGAAAAAGACCAAATACTCGTTTATTTGTTGGTTTGTTATTTTAGAGTTGTTAGAACCCCTTCATATGACCTATTTTAAACCCTTTAATCCGAAGTATTTTTCAGCTTTGTTCAATAGTGCTCATGGTTAATTGGTTTTGTTTGTATTATGCAACTAATTTCTATCAATTTTCATGATTTAGGTGGAGGGCAAGACTGTTAAGGCTCAGGTTTGGGATACAGCAGGTCAAGAGAGATATCGAGCTATCACTAGTGCTTACTACAGAGGAGCTGTTGGTGCTCTTCTTGTCTACGACATAACTAAGAGGCAAACCTTTGATAATGTTCGAAGGTGGCTGCGCGAGTTGAGGGACCATGCAGATTCTAACATCGTCATCATGATGGCCGGAAACAAATCTGACTTGAATCATCTCAGAGCAGTTTCTGAGGAGGATGGTCATGCTCTGGCTGAGGGGGAAGGTCTTTCATTTCTTGAGACGTCGGCACTAGAAGCAAAAAACATCGAGAAGGCATTTCAAACCATATTGAATGAGATCTACCATATCATAAGTAAAAAAGCATCGGCAGCCCAGGAAGCAGCCGCTAGTGTTTCCCTTCCGAGCCAAGGAACCACCATAAATGTCACTAATTCATCAGGCAACACTAAGAAAGGATGCTGTTCTACTTAACAAGGTGATGGATTATATTTGAGGAAGTGAAAATATTTGCTAGCGAGTTGTCCTTTTTCTTTTTCCCTTCTTTTTTTTTAATCAAACATCGGCTGAGAGAGATACATGTAGAATACTTGGTTTTTGTTTTAAAAGAACCATATTGTTTGTTTGTAGCATTAGCATGAAAAGGTTGGAAGGTTGGATGGGAAGTCGCTATTAGAAACAGAGAGTAGCATAATTGGTTACTTCTGATCTAGTCTCTTAACTTGTAATAACAGCGCCTCTTTTATTCTTTATGTTTCGAACTTTCATGGTTATGAGAATTGAAAGGTTCAAATTAGAACTGCCAATTTAGTGGATTGGATAGATTTGAGTCGAGTCTATTCGACTTTTAATTTTTTTAATTTTTTTGAATTCAACTCATTTCAGGTTAAAGTCGTTTGGGTTTATTAGTTAATTTTTAGTCAGATCATTTCAAATTTGGTTCATTTCAGTCTTAGATATTCAAGTTTGACCCTCAAGTATAGGCCAAATATAACTCGGATCATTTCGGGTTCAAATTATTTCTAATTCGAGTCATATAATTAAGAATTAGATTGTGAAAAAATAATTGTGTAAATAAATATCATTTTCTCATGAATGAAAGAATAAAAATGATTTGAAATTAATTTAATGATTTTATATTTATCTCAAAGTGAAATAATATTTGAACGACCAAATATCAACACCTTAAAATTTGAGTGATCGTGGGAAATCAAACCAAATTATCACGAAAAGTTGAAAGAAAGAAAAAAAGGTGACCTGACTAAACATAATGTCAACCCTAGCCCTAGATAGATTTATTGCATTACTACCTCGAAAAGACTTCATTAAGAATTGAATCAAGCGGGAAATCAGATACCATAAAGAATCTATAACATAGCTGGAAGTTTTGCATCTCTTCGAGTTAGAACAAGAAATTAAGCCAAATGTTGATATAATAATTATTAGAAAGTCCAGGCGTATGCAGTTATAAGTGAAGCAACGATTTGCTTGGTGGTGCAAGTTATATTGGAAGTTTTAGAGGGTTACTATTGATGCACCCAGTTTTCTTACCATTCTTCGAACTTCAATGTACTAAAAACGATAACTGATTGTTTTACTTGCATTGCAGAAACAACATTGGCTCTAGTGCTTGTAGCTGAAAGCATTCGCTACTTCAACATTTGAGAAGGCTCCTCGCTGTATATAACATGCAACTGCGATACCCAGTGGATTTATGCTGCCGGCAAGAGGTCATCACAGTTATACAATTGCCCCCTCCCTCTAGTGGCCGTCTTATTTTCCATCTCAGTACACACACTGCTCTCTCGACTCTATCTCTAAGGTAGTCCACGAACTATCCAATATCCAGTACCATCTCAACTCAAAGGTATCCAGCATTCTCTAGGTATCCAGCATTCTCGAGGCATCCAGCATCCTCCTACCCAATAACGTCACCTCCCCAAAAATATTTGCCAACGACTGCTAATAAGTAGTGTAGTAACATCTATTTTGTCATAGATTCTATTTTTTTTTCTTTAGATGTCATCGTCGTCGTCTTCATCATCAATAATAAGGGCTTATATTAACATATAACACTCAAAAAAGGTAAATAAATAGATAGAGAAATGCATTATGTAACTGACACAGGAAGCTGAAACTGTTTAAATTTTTCTTAAACGAAATCAAACTCATCTTGTTTTCCTACATATGTAAAGTGTATTACGTTCTACCTCTTCTTGCAGCCAATAGGTAACAATAAAAAGAATGGACTTTCAAATCAACCCACTAATCGCAAACGAGTATCCTCTTTTCTTTCACAATGCATGCACTACCCCCAACAATCTGGAAGCAGCCTTCAAGTAATGTAGATATAGTATCTGCATTTATGTCAGTAAACACAATAATCAGCACTGGTTTGCTCTCACTTCATTGATATGCAACAACAATGCAGGAGGATTTGTAGTAGATGAAACCGGGGAAACTTGCATATAGAAAAGAACCCTAACCTAGATACCTAGGGTTCCTTTATCTATGGCAAGTTACTACTATGTTTTCTTTTTTTCCTTTTAATAATAATACTGCAAAAGACGCTGCCTTGCAAAAACGTCAACTAAAGCAGATGGTGCACAGTTTAAGTCCAAAATATGAGCACCATACAATTGACAATAGCAACAGCGTTAATACATAATATTTTCAATCAAAATAGAAAGAGATAACAATTTATATGACTCCAAGCAAACCTCATCGTTCATCCTACAAGAGTAAAAACAGTCCAAAGCATAAAAACTAAGATTCTAGACCCTGATATCAATTTTAAAAACCAAATAAACCTAAAGTATATGAAATGTTATAATTAATCCCCATAAATACTACAAGGTAAAACAACCCCTCGGTTAGTTTCTTAGCATTCTGCACCAAACCAATGGCAGTCCTCAGGCAACTAGCTAAGTAGCTACTAATGGTAACAAATGGTACAAAATAATTGGACAGATACCTAGAAGCTTATGAAATCAATAGGACAAATATATCACATTATAGGAAAAAATGATGATACTTACCTTTGATGCAACTGCTCGCTCAGATCCATAGAATGACATCAAAGATGAAACAGATAACCAGAATAATGTAGTATGGACACAATAACTTCCACTTGTCAGTCTACAGACAAAATATTCAATCCACACTTCTCATATTCATAAGACCTATTTAATTGTAAAAGACGAGGAAGCTGCAGCTGCCTCTGCTATTAAAGAAATTGGCTGGCGAGCCTGCAGGCAAGCAGCTATATCAAAGGGATGCAACTCAGCACCATCAAAAATAAGGTTCACACCGGGAAGGATTACTTCATTGCTGTCGGATTCATCAGGGTCAACTTTCGTTGTGGTTGTTGTGGTGGAATCATCAACAGGTCTTGTGGCAACTTCATTAACAGGAGTTAGGGCATATGCTCTGCAAATATCGTTCAACAATATGAACAAATAATACACAACCAACCACTAAAATGAGAATAAAACATTAAGAGGAAGAAAAAAATGTGGACTGATTTGACAGACCTAAGAATGCTACCGTCAAAACTCAAAACTTCAGTCTGACAACGCTGTCGACTGCCAAGTTTTAACCTTCGACGATCACTAGACGCTCCAGAAATGGGAGAAGAAGGATCTAGAAGTGGATTCCATTTCGCACTAGCATAGTTCATGAGTTGCTTTGGTTTCTTTGACTCCTTTAAATGCTCCTTTTGGTAAAGAAGTTTTGCTGCAGGGCCTGTTGCCTGATACTCTGCACAAATATCACGCAACATTTTACGAATGCTCTGCATTGAATCATGATGCTCAGAAAGTAAATTTGCTTGAAGTAACTCTGACGAGACAATCCTTTCACATATTCTATTGCTTAACTTAGGGTTGAAAAGTGGCATCCCAAATTCAACAGACAATGGAACCCATTCGTATTTCTCCTCATCAGGGCCAAAATGATCCATATCTCTTTCTTTAAAAAGTTTTTGTACACTAATATAACCAACTGTCAATAACTCCATCTTGTGAGCCAAATCAGTTAACAGATCATTCAATTTTGAACATTCCTCTGCACGAAGTCCTAGTTCATCCCCTACATTAGCAACTGATCCATCAGAATTCTTAAGGGGCAAGGGTATGTCAAGTGTAACAACTTTCCCAGAACCATCAAGGTCATATTGGCTGAAGGGCTGCACTATAACAGCAGAGTATTTGAGAAGCGAATTCAAACAGTGTAAAAGTACGCTTCCCTTAACTAAATTTCCTTCAAACTTGCCACCTAAGCCTCCAATTGTTGAATCATCCCAGGACCATATAAGGGCTTTCTCACAACCAGCTAATGGTGCAGGCAACAAGCGTAGGCATTGCCCTTTCATCAGAACAACTGATAAAGGCCCACTACCCACTGTTGAATACAGCACCAATTTCATCCATGGTGACATAGATGAGTGTGAGGGAGGACCAAAATGAATAGGACCAGTTGAACCAGGAAGAACAGATGAATGTGGAAGAGGAATCATAGACACAATAATATCATAGTCACGAAGAAATAACCGATCTAACGTTGCCTTTGGCAAAGCAGCCAAGCTTTCACAGCGAAGGATATCTAATCTATATTTCTTTTTCCTCCTTAAAGCTCCTTTTCCCAAGTCAGACACTTCCATCCTTATCATTTTCTCGTTATCCTGGACATTCATATCTGACTTGGAAACCTCACTCGAGAGCTTAACATCTTCTGATAAGGTAGCAGATATGTCGTCACCAGTGGTTTCAGCTACATAATCATCCACGACAGAATCTTCATGTGAAGTTTCTAAATTAGTGGTACCATTAATGTTTGATTCAGTTTCATTAGTAGCAGAATGATCTGATAAATCAATCAATGAAGTGTCAACTATCAGAGTAGACTCATCATGACCTGAAGCTGCCAGTCCTGTTCTATCAATCATTTCTACAGCTCCACTATCAGTGGCAACACCACCTGATAGTAGACATTCCAAGACACAGCGAAGACTAAATGCATGGTTTGCAAATTCCTGCAACTCTCCCTCAAATTTTGCTCCCTCCAAAGTGCTCAGGTCTTTGCAAAGGTCAGCAATGGTAGCATGGCCTAATTTCCCTGCTTCATACAGCGTCACAGCATGAGATTTCAATCCTGCAAAAACCCCAGTAAGGACATACAAATTATGTGAGAAGCGAAACAATAAGTACATTCAAACTAGAATTACTTAAAACCATAAACAAACACAATACTAGAACTTGTCTGATCATCATCACATGCAAACTGTAATTACTGGAATATGCTCAGTCCTCCCTCTAATGCCACCACCATGGAATAACATATGATTCTTCTTGGCCTAGCTTGAAGCACCTTCTCTACTCTAGATAGATCTTGTGGTATTTAAAAAAAAAAAAACTTTCCATAGAAGTTCAAAATGAGGTTATTTCGCTCATTCTTAGTTTGCATTTATGGTTATGATGTCCAATAGAAAAACAATGTCTGGGACTGAGACAATATATAAACTAGACATTCAAAAGAGTAAGGAGAATCTTTCAGAAAAAGGAGAAAAGAAAAAACTTAACTAACCTGGTGAAACAGAACCCATCATAAGATAAGATGTTATGTTAGCATCAACAAGAAAAGCAACCCTAGAATCGCTAGAACGATGCCCATGGTTTTCTGTCCCCCAAAGATCACCTTGTTGAGCAGCCTCACCATCAATGGACATATTTGCTGAGGTTGAACTACGGTGAGAGGTTTCGTCTTCATCTACAAGGCTGACACCATGAGGAGGTACACTTGTGTTTTCCTGAAGCACAGATTCTGGATCAATTACTTTTACTGCCCATCCCAAGCGACAAACAAAGGATGCAGCAGCCAGCAGTTGACTAAGGTCCGCTTGTAAGGTTGATGCCAATTCAGCAACTGTAGCATTCTCGCTTGAAACAACAAAAACTGCATATAGCAACCTGAATAGTGCAGTTACTAGCATTAACAATCCAAGTTACACTACTAACAACGGACATTGAAATGACCCAGGGATGAAATAATAACTTACTCCTCAATAGGATCCTCATAGGACTGCTCCTTGTTTGAAATGAACCCTTCAAGTCTAGAAACTGGAGCAAAATAGTACTAATAACTCAATTCACAAACCCAGAAAGGACTCAAACAGAGGTAATCAAGTACCTTATCATTCCATCACCAAATTCAGAACACACTTAAGTGACAGAAAGATCCACAAAAAATAAACTCTAGATAACTTGCTAAGTAAACAGCTAGACAAAGCATCCTAAAGCAAAAGAGATCATAAAAAATTTTATCCGCACAATGTGATTTTTTAGGGGGGAATTCATAGGACCACGGAAGAATGCTTGGTTGATAAATACTTCACTTCTAGATCTTTGAATCCCTCAGTCACTATAAACACCCCTGATCATGCAATAGTATGTGTCTTTGTATTTATCACTCTACTCGGAATGGAAGCAACTACAGAAAAATATTTTCAAGTGATCAGGGTAGGCCGAAAGGGTATCTTTCTTCTTTTTCCTTTTCTCCTATAGAATTCTTTTCTTATCTCAAAAATACTTACCATGGTAAGGATTAAGGAAGAAGGGGGACCAAGCATGGTAGGCCTGTTCTGTACAATGGTACATGCACTCATTCCAAAGTAAGAACCTGTTGATTCTCTCTCTCCTAACCAGTCAGACTGTTGGTGCAATTATCAAGTACAAGGTCACAAAGGAAAAGGTGAAGAATTTATTAACCTGAAAGTTAAGAGGGAATTTCATTTCCACAAGGAACTGATCAAAAGGCTGAGTGTTCTTCAGTTTTTCTGGCCCAAAACAATGTATACTTCACTTTTAAAATTAGCACCAGCTAAAACTAAAGAAGATACCAGTATGAAAACCCAACATGAAGAGATTTTGATGTCAAAAGTAAATAAGGGGGAAAATGTCAAATGGACTCATCAAAGCAATCCTAGACCATAAACGACAAGGAGTAACAGCATTAAGTACACCTTCTTGACATAAATTGTTTGTGATTGTTGAAAAACAACTTCAACAGTCACTCACCTACTCCATGCTTCTGAGAATATTAATTCACAAAGAAAATAAGAAAATACTCATGTATGTTCCGAATGTACATGCAAAAAAGATAATTTTTGAGTAATTAATGGAAGGAGTCTATTTTTAGCCCTGGAAACTATTTATTAGTTTAATGAAGTGGCAAGGATCAATAAATGTAGAGATCCTAGTTTGGAAGAAAGTCTTAAAGCAAACCACTAACCTTTAAACCGGTCATCTGGATAGACAGGAACATCAAAATAGATCAGCCCCCGTCGATACAGACCTTTTACAATGTCAGGATCAAATAGGATAAATGCATTAGCTTCTTCTTTGCAGATTTTATCTATGGTTGCCATTTCTTCTTCTGAAAGTTTCTATAAAAGAAACAAAGAACTGTGAGGGTGCAAATTATACCAACTAAAAAACTAGAATATGCATCTGAACAGGGCATGCAAGCCACTCTAATGAAACTCCTTAGATAATAAGACAAAGGGCCATCAGAGAACTTACCTTAAACTCTTCTAGAGTAAAGTTAACGAGACAAATTCCCCACCAAGGTTCAATTGGAAAATCCACAGGTTGGGTAGGTAATAACTCTTTTGCAATTGACTTGTTGAGCTTCCACATAATTTTCTGGATAGCTCCAGATAAGTAAACAATAGGTAAGATGATAACAAAGGTACTTAACAGGGATATATGTCTAACTTGCATGATGTAGGGAAAATGTTACCATAAAAAATATACAACGTAAACACAAGCAACTTATTTTGTCCATTAGAATAGTTTCTCTTGAAACGACTGAAATAATGAAGAGTTCATCAAACATATCTACAACCAACGGCACAAGGGGGGATTATTAGAGGTTAGGCGGTTTGCAAAAAAAAGTTCTTGTGTACTCGATCAGGCAGAAAGTCTATGCCTAAAATAATGTTAGTATAGCCTCAGTTGCTTTCGAGTAATGAGTTAAGAACATGATTATCAAATTATGTTCTCTAGTATAGTATTGGTTTAAACATCATGGCCATGACACAATGCAAACAAAATAAATACTGTTCGCAAATTTGCCTACAAAAAGAAGAATAAAAGAATGATTCAAGTTATATCTACCACAATACCATGGCCTGAGGATGAGTATCAGTGTATGAGTGCATAGATTTGACTTGGATCACTACTGCAGAGATATAAGAAAGGAGCAAGGACACACAGCAGCAACCACAATGGTGCTACCAACACATATTTACACTTACATGAATTTGAAAACAAAAATTTGATCCATTACCTTAGACTTGCATTTGTTCATGATATCAATAAATTCATTTCTTCCGATTCCCGTAAGTCTCAAGGCATCAGCAGCACTAAAATTTGGGATACTGTCATAAGGATGCTCTGTCAACAATAAGAAATGTCTGTAAATGGTCAGTAGCTATCTAAATATGAGGCCAACACCAATTCATAAAGCAGTAGCCATTGCTGAAAGGTCAATGCTGCACAAAATCTCATAAAGGCACACATATATGTCTGCAAAGAAAAAGTCAACCAGTCCAATAAAACTTCAAAAAGAACAAGTCAAATGTATTGTAAATAGTAAATATATACACTATAAATCAAGATTGAGATGTTACAGATGGAATCTATAGTACATACTTTAATTTCAAAATAAAAAGAAACATATACACGGATTCCATAAATCTACACTGCAAATTGCCATATATGAGTATGTTCTTCTCTGAGATTATAAGGAATTTTTCAAGAGCCCTCACAAACATGCAATCAAATGAACAGCATCCGTCATTCTTAATTAGTGCTACTCTCGACCAATAAAAATCGGAGGCAGGGAGCAGAACAGAGAAAACTACATTTGTAATGTATATAAATCATCTTGAACATCACTTTTCAGCAACCATCTGAGTAAAACATGAGAGAGAGTGTCAGGGAGAAAGTGGGAGAGAGAGAGAGGTTTTCAGTTGGTCAGTCTTCCGGTGAGGAGTGGACGGTTTTCGTTGACAATCTGAGTAAAAGGGTAACTAGGAAAACTCTTAAGGAAATTTTTCATCAACAGGGGAGTGTTGTTTGTGTCTACATCCCGAATAATTCCAACAAGCCGAATTATAGAAATTATACGTTTGCTTTCGTCCAGTTTGCAAAGGAGGATGGGTTGTTGAAGGCGATAGCAAATATTAATGGTATCTGGATTGATGGTAAGAAAATCTCAGTAGGAGTTGCTAAGTACCAGAAGAAGAGACTAAAGCAGGCTGTTAGAAGTAACGACAGTAAGGAAGTAGATAAGTGGAAAAAGGATACGTATCGGAGTAGAAGAGCTGGATCAGAATCTTATAGCCAACTGAGAGATGAGAGATCTTACAAGGATGCGTTAGCATCTTTGGATGGAAGGAGAGAAGGTCCGGTGTCTAAAGTGATTTGGGAAGGCCATAAAGACAAGGAAGTAGGGGTGAGGAATTTGTGGGAAATGCATATTCCCCCAGACGAATATGATTGGGTGAAAAGATCAATAACTGGGATCATTAAATCCCATTTTGATCTGGGGACAGTAGTGAAGGGGTTGGCTAGTGAAGGGATCAAGGTCAAGGGAACTAAATGGGGTTATACCTGGAACTCTTGCATTATAACCTTTGGGTCGAAGGAAGAGTTCGAGGAGGCGTGGAAAAACAGAAGGGATGAAGTGTCACTTTGGTTCGACTGGCTTGATCCACTTATGAGTGTAGATGGAGTCCCGATGGCTTTCTGTTCAGTGGAGTTGTATGGAATCCCTTTACTATGTTGTAATGTATCTTTTTTGGAAAAGCTGGTCTCAAGGTGGGGGAAATTGGTGTGTATTCATGAGTCCACGATAAGAAGAGAGGATTTGGCGGTGGCAAGAGCTTTGTTGAGGGTGGCAAGTCCTTATGATATACAGGATTCTGTTACCTTGGGTGCATATGGGAGATCGTATAAGGTTAAGATTAGTGTGGGATCGGTCAGTTCTAAAGAGGAAAGTTTTTTTGCAGAAATTCTTCAGGTGGCCGGAGATGGTGTGTCTAGAGTTGATTCTTCATCGGAAGAGAAAGAAGTTCGGAGTTCAGGTGGAGTAGGCAGCCCACAATTGCCAGCTGAGAATTCTAGGGACACAGTAAACAGATGGTTGGTAGGTGATGCCTGCACAACAGTGGCAGACGGCAGTGGAAGTAAACATTTAATGCTGCAGGAAGGAGAAAGTCAACCTAGTGGTGCTAAGGTGTCAGGTTTTTCTGCAGAAGATTTGAATTTTAAAGAGGACTATAGGGGCCTTGGTCTAAGGAATGTCTCTATTAATGAATCTGAAGAAGCCCATTTAGAGGGCTCGAGTGAGTCTAATACAAATATCTACAGAATAGTACCTTCTGGGCCAGCTGTTAATTTATTAAAACTGGGATATGGTAACCGTTTGGAGTCTCGGGTGGAATTGGCAGGTTCTCAGCAGCAATCTGATTCGGATAAACTAAAGGTGCAGAATTGGGCTAATGTCTCGGCAGACTTAAATCCAAATTTGTTGCCTGCTGGGTCTTCACAATCTAACAGGGAGTATGATTCACCAGCTAATAATCTAATTCCAGCGGGGCATGATGTTAAATTAAGTAGGGTGGAGGTTCAAGGAGAGTTTCAGCATACTGTTTTGGTAGACTCAAAACTGCAGAATTCGAATACTGATTTGTCAGGTTACAAACATATTTCGATTGAGGGTGGGTTCACGGATAGAGTACAGTCTCAATCTGAAGGGATCTCAAATAAGCCAAATAAGGATCTGTTAGAGGAAGTAGTAGTCTTGGAAAAGGACGTTTGTAGGGGGGGTTGGAACTGAACTGATTAGGGAAAGAGGCAGATCGCTGTTCCAGTGTAGAAGAACACTTTGTCCCAAAAGTTTGCCCATAGAGAGGAGGAGAATGGCCAGCTATAAAAGACATTATACCAGGTCGAGGGTGAGAATTAACTGGTTTGAGAATAAACACAAAGGTATTCCGGTGAGAAAGGATTTGCAGCCTCCTTCAATAAATATGGAAGGTGGAAGGGAAGTGATTTTAAATGGTGCAGCTGATGATCAGAACCCTTATGTGGCACCAACTAATTGTAATAGTTCTTCGGAGGTCTTGGCAGTAGTTCCTTTCTCTGCTGTAGGGTCAGGAAGGTCTAAAAGAAGGGAGAGAAGAGTTTTAACAAGGGAAGCAGTTGATATGGTTAATTCTCCTTTTGTTTTTACTCCTCAGTTCTCGAAGGCGGTTGAGGAAGCGATGGTTACATGGGAAGTATGTAAAGTTCTAGGAATTTCATTCAAAGATGGGAAGAAGGCTTTTTTGGACAAAATTATCAACCTTAAAGAGGGTTCGGCTGAGAGTAGGGAACAGGGGAAGTCAGGGGTTTAGTCTCTATTTCTCTGTTGACTAGCTATAAGGATTTGGTGTAGATCTTCTTGATATGATAAATGTCAACATTATTTCTTGAAATGTAAGGGGTCTTGGAAAAAAGGAAAAGTCAAGAGTTGTAGCTAATTTGGTGAAGAAGAATAAGCCGAACTTGATTCTAATTCAAGAAACAAAACTAGAAACTGTTTCTTTGGCTCTTAGAAGAAGGATAGGGGGGAGATTCCTTAGAGGAGGGATTGTTGCGCCAGCAGTGGGATCTGCTGGTGGATTGATGATTATGTGGAATGAAAATGATTTTGAAGTCTCGAACAGCCATCTTAATGGCAGATTCATAGCAGTCTTTGGGAAGTTCAGAAATTCAAGTGAAGAGTGTGTGATTATCAATGTATACGGTTCATCAATTGAAGTAGAAAAGGAAGATTTTTTCAGGGAATTGTTGGAGTTTGTTTCGGCTCAAAATATGTTAGTGTGTATTGGGGGAGATTTTAATGTGTATCTTGATCCGGACGAGAAGTTGGGAAAATCACAAAACTGGCATTCTATTGATTTATTTAGAAACTTCTTACAGCAATCACATTTAATTGATCTACCTTTGGTGGGAGGAAGGTATACTTGGTGCAATAATAGAGAAGACTCGACTTGGGAAAGACTAGACAGGTTCTTAATCTCTGGGACGTTTCTGTCATGTTTTCCAAATGTAGTGCAAAGTCTCTTGCCTAAATCCCTATCTGATCATAATCCAGTCTCATTAGAGGACAAAGCTGTTAATTGGGGACCGAAACCATTCAGGTTTTTTAATTATTTACTAGAGGAGGAAGGATTTGAGGAATTGGTTAAATCTTCAATGGTTGCTATGAGGGGGAGAAATAATAGAAGGGGTATATTCAGTATCTTAAAAGGAACTAAAAATTCAATCATAAATTGGTCCAGCAGTAAATTTATTGGGATTCCTGAGTCGATTTCTGATTTAGAGAGGAATATTAATGAATTGGATCTTAAAGCTCAAGGTGGAATTCTTTCGAAGCAGGAGTGGGATCAGTTGAGGCTGTGTAGGACAAATCTATGGAGGTTGTATAGGACAGAAGAAAGCATATGGTTTCAGAAGTCAAGGGCGAGATGGATCAAGGAGGGGGATAGGAACACAAGGTTTTTTCATCTGTCTGCTCTGAACAGAAGCAAAAGAAATGAAATCTTAAGCTTGAAGATAAATGGGAGTGTGGTTTCAGATCCTCAACAATTAAAGGTACATATTTCAGAATTTTTCAAGGCAGCCTATAATTCCAATTCAACATTGGAAACAGAGGATTTACTACTGGATTTTGCTAAGCTATCAGGGGATCAGTCTAAGAAGCTTGAAGAGAACTTCTTAGAACAGGAAATTTGGCAAGCTATAGTTTCATCAGACAGCTCTAAAGCTCCAGGACCAGATGGTTTCACCATGGGTTTCTTTAAAAACTGCTGGCCGATTTTAAAGGAGCACGTGTTGAAATTTTTTAAAGATTTCTATTTTGGAAGGAAATGGGAGCACGGTATAAACCATGCTTTTATCACACTTATTCCGAAGAAGCTTAATCCGGACAGTGTAGAGGAATTTAGACCAATCAGCCTTGTAGGCAGCTTATACAAGATCCTTTCTAAAGTTCTATCGAAGAGACTGAGTTGTTGTGTTGGTGATATTATTAGTCACTCTCAGTTTGCTTTAATACCGGGGAGATAGTTGTTGGATTGTGCTTTTATAGCAAACGAAGGGATTGATTACTGGAGGAAAAAAGGGTTAAAAGGGGTTGCCTTCAAAGTAGATTTTCGTAGGGCTTATGATTCCGTGGAATGGCCAATTTTAATCAGAGAAATGTCAGAGATGGGTTTTGGTAAGAGATGGTTGTCGTGGATATCTCAGTGTATTTCAACAGCTTCAATCTCGGTTCTCGTAAACGGGTCTCCATCGGAAGAGTTCCCCATGGCCAAAGGACTTAGGCAAGGGTGCAGTTTATCTCCGCTACTATTTAACATTGTAGGTGAGCTGCTTAATTTGATGATATCTAAAGCAGTGGACAGGGGTCTGTTTCAAGGCTTTGTTATTGGGGAATGTGAAAATTCTGTTCGATTGTCACATCTACAATTTGCAGATGACTTGATCATCTTCTGTCAAGCATCTCTCTCCCAGATTAAAAATGTCAAGAGAGTATTGAGGATTTTTAGTGTTATGACAGGGTTGCATCTTAATCTAGCTAAGAGTAAGCTATTTGGTATTAATGTGGAAGAGGAAGTTTTATCAGAATGGGCATCTTCGGTGGGTTGTTCTATTGATTCCCTTCCAACAGATTACTTGGGACTTCCTCTAGGTGCTAAGAAAAACTCAGAAGCCTTATGGGATCCAGTTTTCAAGAATTTTAGTTCCAAACTAGCCGGCTGGAAAGCTAATTGTCTCTCATTGGCGGGCAGGACAGTTTTATTAAAGTCGGTGTTAACATCCCTACCAATATTCTTCTTATCTCTTTTTAGAATGCCTTGTAAAATTGGTAAGAAGCTTAATTCTTTAATGGCCAGTTTCCTATGGGGGGATAATGAGGACAAAAGGAAGATACACTGGGTTAATTGCAAATCAGTCTGCACGCCTCTAAATTCTGGTGGCCTTGGTGTTCTTGATGTGAACCTATCTAATCGGGCTCTTTTGGGAAAATGGGTGTGGAAGTTCGCCAATGAAAAAAATACTTTGTGGAAAAGTGTGTTATGTTGCAGGCACAAGGTAAGTAGTAATTCCATGTCTATTTGCAAGGTTTTTTTGCCCAAATCTTCTTGGATTTGGAGAGGGATTGCCAACAATTTCCTGAAGAACGACTCGGAGGGTGAACGTATCAGATCAAACTCCAAGTTGAAACTGGGAAATGGAAAGTCTATTGCATTTTGGACGGATTCATGGGCTGATGAGTCTCCTTTAAAAAATCTTTTCCCTAGATTGTATACGTTGTCAACAAATAAATGGGGTATGGTCGCTGAGTTTGGAAGTTCAGATTCGAACGGTTGGGTGTGGAACATCGATACCAGAAGGAATTTGTGTGACTGGGAGTTGGATCAGTGGCTGGATTTAATGACAAAACTGAAGGACTTTAAACTGACTGATTCAGTTGAAGACTTTCTTTCTTGGTCTGCAAGCGGGGATGGACTGTTTTCAGTGAAATCTTGTAGAAAGGAACTCGGCAAGGTGTCTGGGGGGTCCGATTTATGGGTAAAAGGGGTGTGGCAGGGTTTATCTCCTCCTCGTGTTGAAGTCTTCCTGTGGCAGCTAGCTCATCAGAAAGTGGCAGTGAGAGAGGAGTTGGTGAAAAGAGGTTTGCAGCTAGGGGATGAAATTCTATGTCCGTTTTGTAAAAAACAGGTGGAATCAGTTCATCATTTATTTATTTCGTGTGATGTTGTTTGGGAACTTTGGAACAAGATAGCAAGCTTTTGGGATATAGCCTTAGTCCTTCCAAAGGATCCACCTTCTTTGCTATGTTCTTGGGGTGAGCTGAGGGGGAAATCGTTGATTTGGAAATTTATCCCGGGAGTAGTATTTTGGTCGATTTGGAAAGCTAGGAATGCAATGGTGTTCGAAGGTTCCCCCTTGGATAGGATGTCTCTGTTTTTTATTGCTAGATTCAGGTTATCTAAATGGTTTCTAACCAAGTATCCTAAGTTTCCTATTCAGGAGGATGTGCTGATTGGTGATCCATCTCTTGCAGATGGTATTAAAGCTCTCAACATTAACAATTTTCAGGTTTCTCGCTGGATTCCACCCCCTATGGATTTTTTGAAGATGAATGTCGATGGAGCTGTTAGACTTGATGGCTCAAATGGAGGTATAGGAGGTGTTTTGAGAGACTGGAATAGCAACTCCCTTCTGACTTTTTCAGAAAATGTAGGTCAGGGTCCCCTGCCGGTTGCTGAGTTAAAGGCTATTAAGAGAGGCATTGAAATCTATATGTCTTCTTGTTGGGTTAAGGTTGGAAGGTTGATTGTGGAAAGTGACTGTAAGTCGGCTGTGGAATGGGTCCATACCCCAACTTTGGCCCCTGTTTTTATCCTCCCATTAGTTAAAGAGATTTCATCTTTTATCTCGGACAGGGTGCACTCAATTAGACTGATTCCAAGGGTGTGTAATGGGGAGGCTGATAGTTTAGCAAAGATGGGAATTGGTTGATGTTTAGTCGTTTCCAGTGCGTTGTATCGTTTTGAGTTTAGGTTTTTGGTTGTCTGTTGAGTAGCTTAGTCTGTTGTGTTTTTTCAGTATGGTGTTTATGTTAAATCTTATGTAATTTCGGAGGAGTAATAAAGTTTCTAAGGCACTCTTTTCCTCCTTCTTTAATCAAGAAGGAGGTTTTTAAGGAGGCCTGTCATTCTTATAAAAAAAAAATCATCTTGAACTGCTATATTCTTCAAGCAATCACTTTATCACGTGTAAAGTTTTTGTCTAGCAATTAACGCATGTTTAGAATTCAGCCGCTATTGTCTCACCACCAGCATATGGCTTTAAGTTTCAACTGCCCATAAAATATATGTACCAAACAATTCATGCTATTGGTAAATTAGCATCTACCAAGTAAATAAAGGTCAATTACAAAACCATGGAGGATAGTTTTACAGCTGCATCTTGTCCCCTTGCCTCCTTAGCACCCGGGAGATCAGTCTTTTTTGCATATAATTCATACTTTTATGCTAATGGAAATAGACGCATTCATATACCTAGAAATACTTAATCGCCTAACAGCCCCTGCCAATCAATACTAATTTATTTATTCTTCTATAACTAGAAAGATTGCATAAAAGATATAGTAAACAATAACAATATAGTAAGTTGGAATTATCACTTCAATAATAGGATTCAACAATTTAATGATATGCTTAGTATGAATGGAAATCTTTGAAATACAAAGAGATAAAAATCATATATCTAGCAAGACGCAGTATATGAGACTTCTCATCAGATCAAAGAATTATCTTCAGCCAAAAAAATTCCATCATCAGTCATACATAGCAAAAAAAGGAGGATGCGAGAGGAAACCAAATAGGAGAGAGCAATTACCATTTTTCATAACCTCAAATATCATATCACAGTAATATCGGAAAGGAGAGACCCTCATTACACGGCAAACATACTCCGCAAGATGGTAAGGGAATAACTACAAATAAGAAGTTCAAAAAAATGAGCAGTAAAGAACCACTACAAATGTATTGGTGAAAACTGAACCGCAGAGTCGCTCAACATCTTTTACAAATTGCAACTGATGAGAATAGATTTATTATGTATTCAAGCAATCAAACCATGAAAGTCATCCTACATGACCAGATATGTAGCTGGTGTTGCTCTAATGCTCTTTAAGGCAGTTTCTTATTATGATAGCTCTGGTTCTACTTCGAAAGGGTAAATTTTATTCAAAAATGAAATCGAGAGTTAAAAAATTATTCCTTTTTTTTTAAAAAAAAGATATAGATCATTTGAGGAATAAAGTTTTTCTGAAAACTTAGTAAAGAACAAATGCACTAAATGAGATAAAGTGAAAGTTAAAATAAACTATCTTTAACACAAACCGCTAGATTCCTTCGCAAGTAACGCATCATCTCTTCGTAATATTCACTTTCTTTGCATACTTTGCGAGCAAAAGAAGTGTTCCATTGGAGTCTTTTCTTGATACAATGATTGACAATCCTAAATGGAGTTACAAAAATGAGAAAATAAAAATGGGGGGTAAGGTCAAGCAATGGAAAATAAATCCCAAGAGCACATAAATAAATGAGCATTTAGGTCTAATGACTATTTAGGATAAAATAAATTTCAACCTGGGCCTAAACTAAAAATGATTTTAGAATCAATCCAAAACCATAATGTGCGTGCTTAACAAAGAAAATGAAAAGTTCGCAATGGTAAGTGAAAACTGAGAAAACAACAATATATAAAATAGTCTGTGGAGCTACAATCATGTGAGCATCCCAAACCAATTTAATTCTATTTAAATATACCAAAAAGAATCCAAATTACAGATGAGAATTACAAAACGATTCTTTACTAACACGTTAAGATCAAAACCAATTAACCAAACCACAGATGAACAATGCAATAACCATAAAAGGAGCAATGACCTTCAAATTCAAACTAAAACTAGCTGATCCTAAATCACTCCCTAAAACAAAACAAAACAAAACAAAACAATGAAGTTCTTCAAAGCTAAAAGCTAAAAGCTAAAAGATCCTAAAATTTGAAGGGAAAAAAAGCAAAACAAAGAGGGAGCATCAGAACCCAAACTAACCTTCGGTGCCATTCTTCTTTAGAATTAAGATTGACCTGAAGCCGTTTAGGTAAATTCTCCCAGGGGCTTTCTTCCTTAATCGCTTTCAAAAACAACTGTTCCTCAACCGTAGACGGAATGTGTTGCATTTTTATAGATCACTCGATCTCCTCCCTCTCTGAATGTAAATAAATCAATGTAATGGTAAATAATTAGCAAAACAAAATTCACAGGATAAATGAGCATTTAGGTGGATCGAACCTGGAAGAGAGAGAATAAGAGGGAGCTTTGGTGGCGGTGGCGGATCGAGCTAGGGTTTTGATAAATCGTGGTAAACGGAGATCTCAAAATCAAAAGAATTGACAATTCAGGAACGCGAAATGTTGGAATTTGTTTCTTCTTCCGAGGATTTGGATTGCGGAACGCGCTATAAATGTCCAGAACTGGGAAGTTGGAATTATAAATAGTCAAATAAATAGTACAGTATCATCAAAAAGGGAAAACCCATATATAAATATATATATATATATATATGGCTAGGCTTACTATTTTGGTCCATATTAAGGCAAGTCGAGACGGGCATGATAATATTGGTTAGTATTTGGTTTCGCTCATGTGAGAAAGCTTGCCCACAATGTAAGATGGGCCTTGTTGTGCCTTAGTCCATGCTCGCATCGCAAGGCAGGATATACATACATACATATATATATATATAGTAACGGATTGAGTTTTTTTTAATCTGATTCGATCTAAAAATATATATATTTTTTAATTTAATTTGGTCCAACTTAAAATATATATATTTTTCGTCCAATCCGAAGAAAATATTTCATTTACTCAAACTTGATCTAAATCAAATTTTTAGAGTATAAACTTTATCTAATCTAACTCGACTCAACATAAATATATAAAATGTTATTTCTATTTGATAAAATATAAACTTAATTAAAAAGTATAAAGAGATATGGTATTATAACAATTATCCTTATATTTATAAGAAAAAATTATTTTATTATTACGAGTCGAATCAAGTCTGATATTTTTCACCATCTACCTAAATCTAACCGATTTCATCCTAAATAAAATTGATTATATCCCATTCAAATTTATTTTTTAAAATTAAAACAAAAATCAATCCTATAACATCAAATCTAATGAAAATCAATCGATTTTCGGATTAAATTTCTATCCATAGTTATATAGTGTCATGACAAAGATTCCCAACAATATTTGGCTTCAATCCTCTTCAACCTTGTTAGCCATGAGGTGGAATTATATTTGTAGACAAAAACCACTTCGTAGACAGAACCGATCAGTGAGGTAACTTTTCCTGACAAAAGCAAATCACTACCTACAAGTTCATGCGGTTCGAACTCATAACATGGATTAATGTTAACTAATCAATATGTCAAACAACATGATTTCTAAATTATTTTAAACATAAATTTGATTTAGTTTTGTTAAAACATAATTTAAATTTTGAAGGGTAATCATATGGATTAAAGATTTTTTACATAGAAACATTATATTTTTTTATTTTTAACTTATAAAACTTTTGTATATGAATTTTTTAATTACTTATTTTTAGTCTATACAGCATTTCCTTGTGCAACCACGTCATTGTTGAGCGATAGTATTATCTTATGTATTAAATAAACTCATCAAATGAATTCAATGATTAAAAAGATTATATTTTATGGATGTATTCGTTATCAATGACTAATAAAGATTATGAACAAATATTATCTTATAATCATCATATACTATTAAAAAAACAAAAAAAATGTTACTTTTATCCTATTTTACCTATAAAAGTTAATGAGAATGTGACTTACATTTTAGTGAATGTCAATTTTCTTATGTAAAAGGAGATGAAAATAATTTAGTAATCAAAATGAATATTGAGTATATATGTGTGGACAAAATATATTAGAAATAATTAAAATATATTTAAAAAATTATTTTAATTATTAAATTTTTAAAAAATTATAATTTTTTTTATTAAATATATTAAATCATTAAAGAATGATTATTAAATTTTATTAAGTTGATATACAATAGTCATTTAATTTATTAATATTTTACAATTATTATAATATTTTAACCATCGTTTCATAGTTTGATATATTTATTAATCATTTTTAAAAATCAGTTATCAAAATAATCATTTAAACAGAATTGATTAACCTTTTATATACTCTACCATATATATATAGGTATTTTCAACCATTGCACGTGATATCCACGTGAGACAAAAAATGTGAGCCCAGGAAAGAAGAAAAAAAGTACAAACCTTAAGTTGTGCGAAGATGAATAAAAATGTGAGATCGGTACAAACAAAAGAGAAGGTCCTGATTTTTTTAGTTCGTGACTGATGTGGGCGTTTAACACTCCCCAGCCAAAGCAACCACCGTCAGTGTTCAACCCACCTCGTGCTCCTCCAAAACTTCATTTTTCATCTGTTACCTTAAACCCCTCAATCTCCACCTCAACGCCTAGCAACAATCACCTAATCCAATCATTGTGCAAACAAGGTAACCTTAAACAAGCCTTCAAGCTCCTTTCCCATGAACCCAGTCCTTCTCAAAGAACCTACGAGCTCCTTATCCTCTCATGCGCCCACCAAAATTCACTTTCCCTTGCCCAATCCCTTCATTCCCATATTTCCGAGAATGGGTTCGACCAAGATCCTTTCTTGGTTACCAAACTTATAAATATGTATGCTGATTTGGATTCACTCGATGACGCTCGCAAGGTGTTCGATAAAACGCGTAAGAGAACAATTTTCGTTTGGAATGCGCTTTTTCGAGCGCTTACTTTGGCTGGTTTTGGGGAAGAAGTTTTGGGTTTGTATAGAAAAATGAATAGGATTGGACTCCCATCGGATAGGTTTACTTATACTTATGTGCTTAAAGCTTGTGTCGCTTCTGGATGTATGGTTTCGCTATTAAAGAAAGGGAAGGAGATTCATGCTCATATTTTAAGACATGGGTTCGAAGCACATGTTCATGTTATGACTACTTTGGTTGATATGTATGCGAGGTTTGGTTGCGTTGCACATGCGAGTCTTGTTTTTGAGAAGATGCCTGTTAGGAATGTGGTTTCTTGGAGTGCAATGATTGCGTGTTATGCTAAAAATGAAAGGCCTTTTGAGGCATTGGAGCTTTTTATGGAAATGATGACCGAGACTCTTGACTCCATTCCAAATTCGGTTACTATGGTCAGTGTTCTTCAAGCTTGTGCAGCTCTGTCAGCTTTGGAGCAAGGAAAGTTGATTCATGCTTATATCCTCAGGAGAGGGCTTGATTCAGTTTTGCCAGTTATAAGTGCACTTATTACAATGTATTCTCGATGTGGTGAGCTTGAATTGGGGCAACGGATTTTTGACCGGATGGAGAAAAGGGATGTTGTGTCATGGAATTCATTGATATCAAGTTATGGTATTCATGGATATGGGAAGAAAGCAATGCAAATTTTTCAAGAGATGATTTATCAAGGTGTTTCCCCAAGTCCTATAACTTTTGTCGGTGTTTTGGGAGCTTGCAGCCATGCAGGTCTTGTTGAAGAGGGAAAAAGGTTGTTCGATTCGATGTGTAAAGTACATGGAATAATTCCTAGTGTTGAGCACTATGCCTGTATGGTCGATCTTCTTGGTCGTGCCAATAGGTTAGAAGAGGCAGCTAGGATTATAAATGAAATGCAGATCGAACCTGGAGCTAAGGTTTGGGGTTCACTTCTTGGCTCATGTAGGATTCATTGTAACGTAGAGCTAGCAGAGAGAGCTAGCCATAGACTATTTCAACTCGAACCCCTAAGTGCTGGGAATTATGTACTTCTAGCTGATATTTATGTGGAAGCCGAGATGTGGGATGACGTAAAGCGAGTGAGGAAGCTGCTCAAAACTCGCTCACTGCAAAAAGTTGCAGGCAGAAGTTGGATTGAAGTGAAAAGGAAAATGTATTCATTTGTTTCTGTCGATGAGTTCAATCCTCAGATTGAACAGATCCAATCCTTGTTGATTAAACTGTGTGCAGAAATGAAGGAGAAGGGATATAAACCGCAAACCAAAGTCGTTCTGTATGATCTCGAGGAAGGCGAAAAGGAACGCATTCTATTAGGTCACAGTGAAAAACTCGCAGTTGCATTTGGACTCATCAATACAAATAAAGGGGAAACCATAAGGATAACAAAGAATTTGAGGCTATGTGAAGACTGCCACTCGTTCACAAAGTTCATTTCCAAGTTTACAAATAAAGAGATTCTGGTTCGTGATGTGAATCGCTTTCACCATTTCCAGAATGGAGTCTGTTCATGTGGGGATTATTGGTAGTCATACCTTTCCCTTTTATTTATTTTTGAGTTCTAAATAAGTCATAAAACAGCAGAGAGATCATATAGATGTGTACAGCAGACCAGTAAGCCTAATTGGTTTGTCATCGTTGTGTTTGTTTTTAACCCGTAATTTAATACTATGGATCAGACAAGTTTAAAGTTTGAATTTGTTTTAATTAACATTTTATACAATATTTACACTATCTATCATCCTTCCAAATTCCTCGATCAGGTTGAATCCGAATTATCCTTCAAAATTCCTAAATCAGGTCGAATCTAAATTCACAGTGTTTAAGAGGTGCTAACCGAGTTAAGACAGTCTGTATTAATAAAATTGTCACCAATTATTAATGAATGTCTATTATGAATTTATTAAGTGATTTCAGTCTAGATGTCCCGGATTCACAATCTCCAATATTTTAATGATAATTCTATATGTCTAACCAAAATATCATCTGCTCGAGTGAATAAAATCAAGGTTAAATGTTTTGGACAAGAAAAATTAAAAAGAGGCATCTGGTTGGACCTATTGCCTAATTGTGAAATAATGTGTAATTTTGGTAGGATTGATTCCATAGCCCTAGCTCCACTATAAAAGGGTACATACGCTACCGGTCTCATAAAAACTAATGAAAAGTTTGTGGAAACGGTGTGCAAAGATCCTGAAGATTCTTTCAACTGGTTTTTACCTGATTCTCCCATTGCTTTGCTATGTTCATTGCCTCTTGATTAGAATTTTGCTCAAAGAGCCTTTCAATCTCCGAAGATTGGTTATCAATCTGTCGATGCAAAAAGAGACTTCCCCTTAACATTGACAACTTTAGTTTACATTTCCATCACACACAAGATAAGTAGGACTCGTGGAATGACTGTACCTCCGCTACAAGTTTTTATCTACTATTTTCATGCCTCTCCACTGCTACAGCCATATCATGTACTTGTCTCTCCAGTTTTTGTCTTCCTGTGCAATAGAGAGAGGAGCCACCTTTTTTTTTTTAAAGAAAAACGACCCGGGTCAGGAAACTCGGTAATACCCGGCTCAGTAAACAGGCCGTTGAGGGAAGGTCTTGGCCCAATTTCGGGGATGCTGTAAGGGAAGATGTTGGTAGCGGAGTCACTATGGTTTCCACTGAAGAAATCTTCCTTGAACGACCTAGAGCCCTTGGTTCGTTTCTTTCTAAATTTTCGATTTTTTTTGCATAAATACTGGTTGTTCTTTTTTACTGAAATTTTAACATAATTCATGAACTGTTTTGTTCCTACAGGCAGCAAAGTAGACAAAACAAAGGCTGGTGGAGATTCCTTGGCTCAACTAGGAAAAGGAGGTGTTCTTACGGTGTGCAGAACATGTGGTAAGAAGGGTGATCACTGGACATCTCGGTGCCCATACAAGGACCTCGCACAACCAACCGAAGCGTTCATCGATAAGCCTGCAGTATCCATTGCTGGATCGGGTAAGAATACTTATGTTCCTCCAGGCATGAGAAACGGAGCTGATAGAAGTGGAACCGATATGAGACGCAGACACGATGACAACTCTGTCCGGGTTATTAACCTTTCAGAGGATACACTGGAACCCGACTTGCCCGAGCTTTTCCGACCATTCGATGCCATAAGTCGAGTTTATCTTGCTATTGACAAGAAGATGGGGATGAGTCGAGGGTTCGGTTTTGTTAACTTTGTGAACAAGGAAGATGCCCAGAGAGCAATAAACAAACTAAATGGCTATGGCTATGATAATCTCATCCTCAGAGTTGCATGTGCCACGCCAACGAATTAGATTAGGTATCTTCATTTAGGTTTATTACTTAAAAAGAAAAAATTTAGGCTACTTCATATATTCTTATATAAATATATATCGATGTTTTATGAAGATATTTTAATCTATATAGTTAGTTGTTTTAAACAAAATTAATTTTTTATTAAAGGTATAATAAAACAACACTAATCTTAGTATAAAAATTTAAAGGGCATGAAGAAAAATAAAATCAAATACATCCCTTAATTACATACTTCATCTTTTTCAAAAATCTAATAACTATTAATAATATTTATGTTTTTATTCGGCCCAAACGCAATATTAGTGATAGTGTCAAAATTAAGAGAATTAATTTGAAAAATTACTCTACAATAATTCTGAATTTATCAATAAATTATCACTAAATTAAAATAAATCCAGACTACGTATGATGCATAATGCATTGTGTAATAATCCCCTAAGAAAGGATAATTGATGGGGGAAAAGAGTCATTTTCCTTTTTGTTGATATCAGTTAAAAGTTGAGAACTTTCACCATCCACTTGTTAGAGTTTCTTATAATGCGAAGTTGTGGCTTCGAGTGTTTCTTACTGTGAATGAATTTATATGGAAAATAAATCAAGGGGCCCACGAATAGAGCCCAGATTCCTTTTGACAGTCTGTACTCATCTCGTGGTCTTTGCTTCTCTCAATATTCACTCTCTGTCCTCTTTCTTTACCCAAAAGATTTTATTATTGTTAAAACATCTCTGTGGAGATCACTAGCTTCTTTCCACTGCCAAGCTCTAATGGCTGCCATTATTGAATCTGGGTGGCTGGTAAAGTTCCTTCCTTTTCCATCTTTCTTGTTGATTTCTGTGTTCTTTATGAACTTTCCATTGCTTGTTATGGATCTGTCGTTGTTGGGTTATTGTGGTTTTGGGATATAAAAAAAAGATCGGTAAATCTGAAGTTTGTGTCCTTTGGATTATTGATATTTCATTTTTAAGTCTTAGTTCTGTTTAGCTGGTGACGTTAAGGTACTTTTGGATGGTTTGTGTTCGATTTTTACAAGGCAGGATTTGATTGAATAATGCTCTTTGGTTTTCTCATCTCAAAGAATTTGAAATGATGCATTTTCATGCATTGTATGAAGAATTTTACTTTTTCCTAACATTTGCAAATGATTATGTAGCTACAGAATGGCGATTGTCCACGGTTTTGATTCTTTTGAATTCAGGTCACTGTTTCACTATAATTTCTAGCTATATTGGATACTTCATTAATTCTTTCATCAAGGATGTTACTGTGCAATAACAAGTACCTGAGAATGAAATCCAGATTAGAGCAGCCTGTTTGTTAATGTTGAGTATGTGTTTCTTGCAAGTTATTCCTTTGATATTATATCTATCTTAGTAGCCTCTAGCAAAAGTGACTAAGGAAGCATTGATTAGTTTTCTCAACCTTTTTTTTCCCCAGATGTGAAATGTTAATCTGTCTAATTTTGATTATTGATTTCATTTCCAGATACATTTTTTATTAATTACATTGATTAACATCGCATATATAGTGGTACCTGGTCACATCTCACATGTTTCAGTGACCTTGTGAATTAATTTGAATAAAACCTACTATCTTTTTAAGCCGATAACTGCAGTATACGTGATGAGATATAATACATTCTCCCTGAAAATCTTTCTTTGTTTGCCATGCAGTATCTAATCACACATTTCAGCGACTTCCAATTAGCAAGTCTGGGAAGTTTCTTTCTTCATGAAAGTGTTTTTTTCTTATCTGGACTTCCATTTATATATCTTGAAAGAGCCGGATTGCTAAGCAAATACAAGATTCAGGTTAACTCCTATCTTCTTTGCTGGTATCTTTATCAACGAATTTTACTTCGTTGACATAAAATTTGAGGGGGAGTGTTAATGATGAAAAGTATGCTTTATTTGTATTTTGTCCAGCTAAATTCATAATAAACATGTTCCATTTGTAATTTATGTTTCAATGTAGACAAAAAACAACAGCCTTGCTGCCCAAGAAAAATGTATCACCCGCCTGCTTCTATATCATGTTGGTGTCAACCTACCGCTTATGATTGCATCTTATCCTTTCTTCAGATTCATGGGCTTGAGAAGTAGTCTACCATTTCCATCCTGGTATTCTCAGGTTCTTTATATGCTAGAGCTTTTTCCCCTCCATTTTTACAATATTCAGGCATAATATCCTCAATTACTTGTCCTGAAATATAGCCTCCGTAGAGGAATCATGTTCCTGCTCACAGTTTAATTCTTACTATTGGAGCTCTAATTAGCTAGACCCCTTATCTGGTCGGCAGGAAAGTGGTTCTATCACAGATAATATTCTACTTCATCCTGGAGGATTTTGTTTTTTACTGGGGACATCGTATTTTACATACAAAATGGCTGTACAAGCATGTGCATAGTGTCCATCACGAGTAAGTGTCAATATTAGGTGCTTTTACTAGTTAAAACTATGAACAATATTGATCTCGCTTGTTTATTTTGCTTATGCTTGTTGGTTATTTGGTATACATACCCCATACAGGTATGCAACACCATTTGGACTGACATCCGAGTATGCTCACCCTGCTGAGATATTGTTCCTCGGCTTTGCAACAATAATTGGCCCTGCCATAACTGGCCCGCATCTGATTACTCTTTGGCTGTGGATGGTTCTTCGAGTCCTAGAGACAGTTGAGGCACATTGTGGTTACCATTTTCCATGGAGCCTCTCAAACTTTCTACCTATATATGGGGGGTGAGTTCCCTATTCACTTGCTGCTATTTTTCGTTAGTTTATACATGGTTCTATGATTATCTTTTATCCTTTAGCTGCAAGTAATTGTTCATGTTTTCACGTTTCCAGTGCTGATTTTCACGACTATCATCACCGATTGCTTTATACAAAATCTGGAAACTACTCATCTACATTTGTTTACATGGACTGGTAAGTGTTTTTTGGCATTTATTTTTAAAATCTTTTAACTTATTTCTGTGGCTAGATTGTAGGTTACTTATATTTTCCACTAAATTTCTACATTGAGTAGTAGATGAATTTACATGGATCTGCTCAAGACATTTTGGCGGATTAAGCTCTGTCCATTTTATCTTAGAGAGGCCTACTTAAGTACTAGATCTGCTTTGGGGATTCGATTGCACCATTCCGAATTCATATTTGGTATGAAATGTTGTCTAGGTCTGTCAGAGGTTACAGCTTCTAAATTTTGTCACTTTGGAGTTTGGACTTTCAATATTGCTGAGAAGAATGTTTATGATTAAAACATGTCAATTGAGCCGGTTGGGTTGGTTTGGTTTTGGGCCATGTGCGAAGTAGTTAATAACTTAATATCGTAATGGTGGGAGTACCGTTTTTCCTCTTGTACTGGTACATACCGGTACGGTATCAACTACTTTGCACATGACCCAAAACCAACCCAACTAGCTCAATTGACAAGTTTTAATTATATGTAAGTAATTTTAGAACCATTCTGGTTTATGTATCAGTTTTTTGGTTAGGTCATTCCAAAGTCCAAGTCATTTCAGTTATACTGACCATGGATTACCATTTGTGTGGTCCCTTAGGATATTTGGTACCGACAAAGGTTACAGAAAACTGAAAGCACTAAAACGCGATGGAGTCGGCGACGAAGGCAAGCAAACATAATCGAGATGATTGGTTTCGAGGGCCTGACCTGTAGAAAGAGGGGTTTTCTCATTGTGAGCTTTCTGCAATCCAACGTTTTTTGTTGTTTAATTGCTGTTTTTATGTTTTTGCAGCATCATAGGATAAGGTTTCTTCCAACATTTGACATTTCTCTGTGTAACCTTGCATGAATGAAGTTGCTGTCCTATTTTCAACTCTCCTGTTTCTATGTTTAGAGTCGCTTTAATTCTCTTGTTATGTTGGACTCTCGCTTTAGTATACTCCCTGAAATTTACTTGTATAAATCTATGTAATTCTTTTTTTAAAATGGTTTAATTATGGTTTCAATCTCTCTGAAATTTTATTTTTATGATATTTGATAATGTAGTTGATTACTATTGATTGGTTTAGTCCTATTAATCCCGTCTCGGCTTCAATTAGCTTAATTATTGAGCCCCAATGGTTTTAGTCCTCTTTATTATTTTTCTTTAAATTTATATCTCAATATTTTGAAATTTTAGCTATGAGAAAAGATGATGAAAAATACTAATAGCACCAATGATTCAAGTATGATTTTTAAATTTATATCTAAAAAGTGAGATGATTTAATATTTGATTTTTAAATACAAGGACTAAATCTCTAATTTTCACTAAAGTACAGAACAGATGGCATATTTGACCCAAAAATTTATTTTCAAACTTTAAGTACCTACGTGCCTATCCTTAGATCCACCACGACTACGCTTACGTTGTCCGTACTATGCCTGCCTAATGCCAGTTTTGTCAGCAATATGGACGCGTCACTGCATGCCTTGTCCGAGATCTCTGCCCCTTCCCCTCCCATTGTGGACCCAACGACCTCTTCCATCCCTAGAACCAACGGCGGCGCGTGCACATCAGCCTTTCCCCTCAAACACATACGCGCCACCTTACACGCAGTGTCGTTCGACACCACATCCCATAATCCGTCACTCGCAATAATCAAGCATTCGTCCTCCGCCGTCCGATCAGTCACTGTAACCTCCGGTTCACAACTCACGTAAGGCTTCAAGTAGTTATCACCTGTTGCGTTGAAATTGTTTTTTTCAAGTAAACGGTGTAGGATAAGGACAAAGATGCTACCGTGCTCCGGCTGTTAAAGGAGTCTAAAATTGATTAATTTTCAGTGTTTTGAAGTTTTACCTATGGATCTGGACGTTGCGAGGACTCCCGAGACTCGAGGACCGTCCCAGTATATAACTCGACCGCCGGCTTCTTGAATCCGGTCTAGCTCATCCGGACGATCCGGCTGTAACATGTTTCACAAGAAACAAATGTAAAGTCAAAGATATATTGAGATATTTCAAAATTTTGATCCCAAAACTTCGTTACTATACTAAGTCAGATTTGGTTATCTCATCAGTTCCGAATGATATGCATGAAGACAATATACGTAACCGCTTAAACTACGATCAAGCTGTTTGGCTCCCTGGAAATTATAGACGCAAAGCAAGAAAAGAAAAGTAGCTTGAAAAAAAAAGGAAATGTGGCTTTGGAAGAAAATCGGGACTTGTTTCTTACATTGGTTCATGATAAACAGTGAAAATGTGGTAATAAAACTATCGTTTCATAATCTGACTTAAATCACGTGATTAATAGATATCATGGAAAAATAAAACGAAGATTTTCTCAGAAGCCAAACAGCCCATAAGCAATCGTAGTTTTTTTTATCAAACAAAAGAGAGCTAGCTATGAAGTGTTAACCTTGTGATCAGAAGATAACGGAACAGGCTTGCCTTTACGACACAAAACGGCTCTAGAGTCGCCACAGTTTGCAACAACGATTTTATCAAACGTTACGATGGCTACAACAGCGGTAGAACCGACGGCATCGGACTCTGGCGACTGTAACTCACATCTGCATTTAGCTCCGACCACGCTCTCGTTCCACTTGTTTACTTCCTTATCCATGCGCGTGAAGCTACGCGCCAACGCACCTTTCCATTCCTCTTCACACTCTAACTCTTCTTTCACCAGCTCATGTAACCGCTCTCCGCACCTCGTCGCCACCTAGCAAACAGCAACAAACAAAACCGCCAAAAAACTTAGAAAAAAGCAGAAGAGCATTAAGTGATAGTTGTTTTCAAAATTTTAGGACTCGTACGTGAGAGCAACCGTGGCCATCGTAGACGCCGAAATAGTGGAAGCCAACGGCGGAAGACTCCTGGCCTTGGCGGTGAAACGACGGACGAATAGCGACGGCGTCTTCCATGTCTCTTCTCCTTCCACAAACCGAAGCAACGCCGAATTTCGGATTTATCTCTGAAACGATCACAGGTAATAACAGCGAGGGGATCGAGTTATTTTTCACTATGGTTCCTTTCGTTTTCGATCTGATCTTCTTAAGTTTTACCATTTGTTTTTTCCCTTCATCTGAGACGGACTCATCCTCTGCGTTTTCACGGTCTAGAGAAAATGAGGCAGCGTAAACCTGAAGCTTTTGCCGTTTACGCCCGTTCTCAGTTTCCGATGGAGTCACATCCATGAATTTGAGCCGTCTGATATCCATCCAACGTCTTCTGGTTGCAAGTGAACTCGGCCCCCTCAAGGTGTTGATCCTTCACCTTCGCTCATCACTCCGCAACAGATCTCCGCCGTCAACCACTAAAGTCACCCGATTGGCGACTATTATCATGAAAAATACCGGTGACAAGTGAAGCTCTTAAACATGTGTAAAAGTATAATGTTTTCAATTACGCAAAAGTGGAAAGAAAAAGATCGCTCGTTCATTCCAGAGGGAGGCCTTTAAAATGAAGAGACGGCTGGCAGACAGCAAAAATATTTTATACATAATTTATTTTCTATTTCTCTAATAAATTTTTTATTTTTGTTAGAGGAAAGAAATTAAAGTATTTTTAATGAGTTTAAAATATATGATTTAAGAAAATAAAAAAGATTAGAAATAATTAATTTAATCAATCGATTAAACGTGATTATTCTCTAATAAATTTGTTATGCATACACATAAATATATGTTCTATATAATAAACTCACACTCACAAATTATATTAACAAATTTGTGAATTGAAACTTTGTATATCAAATTTTGACTAGATCCTTTGATAAAAAGAAAACTAAATTAAGAGTTAGACTCCCATTTTCCAATAGTAAAACAATAGCTTTTGTAAATAGTTTTTTTTTTCATTTTGAAAATATAAAAAAATATTTTTTTAATAAAGAATGAAAGATAATGGGTTAAACTTAAACTTAACATCTAATATCCATCAAAATATTTGTTACTGTATTAAGTATTTGATTAATAATTTTTTTAATTTAAATAATATATAAATTTAAATTTGATATATTTTATATTAAAATTAAGATATATTGTTAAGATCATAACATTATACTTTCTATCATATTCCGTCGCATTAAAAAAGTTTTACTATAAAATTATTCACCAAGTCCAACAATAAATAGTTTATACGATTTAATAGATCTACGTATTGAGTCACGATCTAAATAGATTAGGTTGGTAATAATTAAGTTCAACCTACATAGTTCTATATCCAACTTAATCATTGATAATAATGCGAACATCAAATACTCAAGGTATATAATAAAACACTCATCGAGGACAAAGAGTGAGAAAAGATCATATCTAATACTTCAACAAGATAGTCAATCGGAGGTTTTCTTTTTATCTAAATCAGAAGATAAATTTAACCACATCCTTTCTCAGTTTAAACCACTATAAATCACTTCACCTTTTGTACATCAATATTAATGCAATAAATTTAAATTTTTATCCTGCAACAAAAGGAAAAAAATCAATTAAATAACAAAAAGGCCAAATATACAACTCCATCACAAGTTCTAATCAACATGGATGTATAAAGAAAGGAAACCTAATATAAGGCTAAAAAATATGTCATCAAAAATATTAATATTTTGTTAATATTTATAATAGAATACTATCTAAAATATTATTTTTTCTATCGAAAATATTAATTTCGAGCATTATCTAAAATAACACCCTCAACGGGGATGTTTAGGTAAAGACAACATAATATAAGGCTAAGAAAATATGATACCAAAAATGTTAATATTTTTTAATATTTTTGATAGAACGCTACCTACAATGTTATGTTTTTCCTATCAAAAATGTTAATTTCAGGAACTATCTAAAATGTTATATTTTTGCCGAAAATTTCAATATCAAAAATATTCATTTTAAATAATGAAATTAACATTTCTAATAAAAAAATAATATTTTAATTAACATTCTATCAACAATATTAAAAAATATTAATATTTTGAATAATACATTTCTTTAATTTTATATTAAACTGCCCTACATTAAAACTATCCATAATCAACTCCAAAATCTGACAAAGTACTCTAACTCAAAAAGAAGAATATGATTACATGTCTATTTTAGGACGGCGTGAGATGAACATAAAGCATCGATGAAAGATGTGAAGCTGTAGGAGAAAAAACACGACCCCGACATTCAAGTACATCAAAGGGAAAATACAAGTAAAGAATATAATTTGAATAATGTACTAACTCGTAGACATGTAAAAGCAACTCATGCAACATAGCATCCCATCAAGAGCATTTAGGACAAAACACCTGCAACTTCAAATATAAATTGACAGGTCCTCAGTTAGCCTCATAGAAAGCTTCGTAGATAATAACATAACACGTGTCATTAATACGAGTATTGTGTGATTAATATGAACATAGTATATTGTAATGTATATAAAATAATATATCAGTATAGAGTATTCATTAGAGGTTAGGTTAATCTCTTATCACAAGGTTGAAATCTTCAGACTGTCTATTTAGTTAGGTATATCATACGTGTAAATCAGTTAGATAGATCTCACATTCATAATCGAAATACTATCATTGTAAATCTTGTTGTGAATTCCTCCGTTGGTGATGGGAGATTATTATGAAATTTCTCTATGATTTCAAGAGATAATGCTTGTGAATTCCTTCTTTATTTAATGGCAGATAATTATAATTTCCTCCACGAGTTACGAGAGATGATCATAAACCAAAATTATTTATATAAATTAATTTTAATAATTGATTATATATAATTGAGTTGGATGAGTAATGAACGTCCTAAACAAACACACCCCAAAACTAGGAGTTCAAACAGAAGAAGTAACAAAATTGAAATTGAAGTATTGATGAATGTGTCGCCGCTGGAATACGGCCCTAA